GCCAGCCCTTTCTAACAGAGCTCACATTGTTTGGTGCTACAGAGTTTACAAGGCATTTTCCTACATATTAGCTAATATAATCCCACCCTGGGAGGTGGAGGGAAAGAAAACGGTGATTAGCTGTATTAGGTGCTTGCTCTGTGCCTACATTGTCTTACTTAATCCTCCCTGAAGCAGGCCAATGCTTCTCAGCCAGGAACATCAGAACCCCCTGGTAGGCTGGGGGCGGGGGGGGGGGGGAGACAGCCCCAGAGCTTTTGATTTGTAGTTAGATCTGGGATGGGCCCAAGAACTTGCATTTCTGACAAGAGGAAACAGGGTGCCTTTGTGACTGCTAAAGAACAGGAGTGAAGGGATTGGGCTTTTCTTCTCAGCCTCCTTCCACCTGTTTCACTTCTAGGGCATCCTGAGTCCCAGGGGACCCTGATGCTGCTGATCCGAGGCCCGTATTCTGAGAACCACGGAGGTAGATGCTCTTACTCCCATTTGGTAGCTGGAAACACTGAAGTCCAGAGGGGAGAAGTTAAGTTACTCTCCTAAGGCCATTCAGCCAGAAAGTGGCCTCACAGATATTCGTGGAGGTCCGCCTGGTTCTGGGCTCTGCACACTCTCCACTTCTGCCTCCCCCCACTCCCCTGCCACTACACCTGCCTCTAGGAACTAACCCTAGCTTCCTTATTGTTTCACCCAGCTGGTAAACCTGGCTGCAAACACTGAAATGCAGGCCGAGATGCCCGCAGAACACACAAACCTCAATTCTGCAACTCAGAAGAGCTGAGAAATAATTCTGAGTGGGTGGACCATACCACATCCTAACAGACCCTGGATGTCACAACTTCAATTAGAAGTAACTGGAACTACAGCACAGATTGCAGAAATGATAGTGGGTTGGATTGCTGGCCTCAAGGGAAATCCCCAACGCACAGGGAGAGGGATTCAGCTCCCTGGTATGAAAAACATGTTCTAGGCTTTTCTCCCCTCTCTCCTCAAGAGTGCTTTGTGCCTCTTCCCATTCATCCTCAGGACGGCAGCTGGACTGGGGGAGAGGTCATGGGGGTGTTTGGAGTTGGCTGAGCCTCTCTACCTTGGGTAAAGACAAGACCCGTTTGTAATTAAATCAGCCTTTTAATTGCACGTGTTCCCTCACTGCAGTCTTAAGTCGGCCCTTGAGCTCTGAGTCTGCTCTCCATGCTGCATTTGAGTGTGAGGCCACACGGCGCCTTTATCCCAACTACAGAATAGAAAGTAGAGAGATTTTCCCCCAGCCTCCCTCCACGTTTCGCATCTCATTCTTGGGAAGGGTTTGGGAAGGGTCTGGGAAGGACGTCACGTGCCAGGAAAAGTTTGCGGCAACCTAATATTCCAGCAGATTCGGGACCGAAGGTGGGTGGAGGCAGGAGCCTAGAGAACCAGAGAGTTTTGGCCCTGTGGAGGATCCTTTCCTGATTCTCCAAGGAAATCCTTTAAGCCAGGGAATCTCTGGTCTGGGACGAAGGAGAAAGAGCAGCCCGAGGAATGCAGAGGCAGTGCCTGGATCCCAGGGAGTCCTGCCAGAGCCCAGGGCCTTCCAACCACGGCAGGGTTGGAAGAAGGGTTGGAAGAAGCTGGGCAGGAGGGTCGGTGAGGGGCTGCAGCCTACTCTCCTGCATCCCCAGGCCAAGCCACCATCACACCAGAGTTCCCTGCACCGGGATGGAGGGCTGGCCCGGAGGGCCCTGGACTCCAGGAGAGGTGGGACGCCCACCCCCTCCAGGAGCTTACATCCCATCTCCTTTGGAAGGCTTATCTGATTCCTCCCAGATCTCTAGCAGGCAGTGGTTTCTGTGTCTGAGTGAGCTCACATCTGGGGAGCAGCGAAGCAATGTCAAGTGTGCTCGGGGCTGGAACGCGGGGCCCACTCTCTGCTCACATGACGTGCTCTTAGGTCCTTGGTTCCAACACAGTCATTCTTTTTGGTTGCTCTGTTGTTTTGAACATACTAAGGGTTTTTGTTTTGTTTTGTTTTTTTTATTTTTTATTTTTTTTGGTTTTTGTGGGAAAGGGCCAAAAAACTTCCAGGGTAAGGATGACTCTCCCAGCCAGCTGGAATTTGTTAACTCTTTTATTGCATATAATACTCATACAGAACAGTGCATCATCAGTGAACGGCTTGATGACTCCTCACCATCTGAACACAGCCCCCATACCAAGGAACTAAACATGACCAGCCCCCACCTCGCACCTCCTTCCCGCCACCCCCACTGCACAAGGGCCCCTGCTACCTTGACTTCTAACCGCAGAGATTCACTTCAGCAAGCTGGAGTTGATCATTCCCTCACAGGGCAACCTGACTTGCAACTGCCCCCCCTCCCCCCCCTCAGAGTTGGCAGAGCTGCTGGGGCTCAGCAGGATTGATCTGGGACTGATTTCCAGTGGGGAGGGCCTGCTCAGCAATTCTAAACCCAGCACACCTCCAGCTGCTGCTTCAGCCGCCCCGGAGGGGTGCACAGGGGCAGGGCGGGCCCCAGCTTGGCCATCAGATGGTCCTCCTGTCTCCAGGCGGGCCAGCAGGGAGGTCAGCCTGGTGACTTTGTGGAGGGGGAATGGGTGTAGGGTTCTCTTTCCATGTGCTTCTAGAAGTCCTACCCTGTGTTCCAGGCCGCGGGAGGCCCCTGGATCAGGATGACTCAGCAGCATCTACGTGCAAAGTAGCTGAGGTCTGTCTGCACCCTGGGAAAACCAACACGTGGCATTTGGTTGGAATTGCCTCATTCAGTGCGGCCCTCATGGCTTGGAAACCATTTCCCCTGTAGCACCCATGCCAGGCCCTCTGTTTCCCCGGGTGCCAGCTGCCAGCCAGGACCTGTCCGCCTCCCTGGCCAGCCTGCATCCGTCCTCCTTCACCGGCCCCCCACATCATGTGCACTCCGTGCACTCATCAAAAGCCAGATTTGTCTCTGCGCTCAGCCCATGCATGTCACGCACCATTAGACTCTGCCCTCTGCTTCCTCAGCAGAGCACTGCTCGGGGGGTGCAGGGCAAGGGGGAGGGAGGGCCGACCAGAGCTGCCGGTCCGGAGGAAATGCTTCTGCGCTGCTCCCGTCACCCCCCACACGGCGAGCCTCCCTCCTGAGGATCCCTGAGGCCCAGACTCTGCTCAGTCTTCCTGGGTCGAGTCATTTGCCTGGCCTCTCCTTCCCTCTGACTGCCATCCCCAAGCTGGATATGAAGACCTCAAATAGGAATTCTGCAAAGGCCAGACACCTTCCTGCCCCCCACCATCCTTCCCTCTCCAGCCCCCACCACCACGTGACTCTCCCTAAAACACAGATTACTCCCTGCCCTGCCCCTCCATCTCTGGGACAAAATGAGAAGGGTCCAGCCTGCCCCTCCATGTCTCCCCTGTTCAATCCAACCTCTGTTTCTGACCTTAAGACTTAATCACTCCCCTGGAACTCTTTCTGTAGATGTTGCCCCCCACCCCCGATACCATCTTGTTGTCTCTTGCCTCCGCTCATGTGACGCCATCATCATCTCAGCCAACAGCACGTCCTTCCTACCCCCACTGAATCCTCTCCAACCTCCAAGGTCCAGGTGCAAGCCCTCCCCCTCCAGGGCACCTTCCTTGACCATCCAGCCCTAGCATTCTCTTTCCTCGGAACCCTCAGAGCAGTGAACCATTTATTCATTATCTGCCATTCTCTATTCAGCTTTGAATTGGGAGCTGTTAAGTACTCCCAGCTACAGAGCACAGCCTCCCCTTCTAATTACCCACCCACTTAGCAGCATGTCCTGCACAAGGAAGTACATAATGATGGAGCCATGCAACGCCGGAGCCGAGGAGACCTTGGCCTATAGGGGGTTGGCGAATTAACTCAGTGACTTTTCTATGCCTCCCGGGCTAACAAACAGCCAAAGGCTAGCTTTTGCAAATCTAAGTCAGACCTTGCTGTGGATTCTGCTTCTGCTGTGGTGATCAAATCCTCTGCCTGTCACCCCTCCTCCCGTGCCAGGGAGGCCAGTTCCAGCCTCCTCTTTCCAGAACAATCTATCTTGCCCAGTGCTCCTGACTGTCCCTCCCAAGACATCATTAACATTCTCGCACTTGTCCGTGGACCTGGCACTCGGCCTCCGGTTCCCACCCCAGCTGATGGCCAAATTTCCAGTCCATTTCACGCACCGGCTGAGCTGATTTCAAGCTGCTTATCTTGCAGGCCTGCCAGAGATGGCTAATGTCATTCTTGACCCAATCCCCCGGAAACCCCGCCGCGTACTTCACATCCCTCTCCCTCCTCACGCACGGGCAGGCAACCCTCTCGCAGTAAGGACGGGCCATCACCACCTCTGCACTCCGCATGCTTATGAACATGGCACCAAGACGTTAATTCTAGACACGCGGACAGCTTAAATTCTGGGGTCTGAGCCAAACTTCCAGAAAGGAGCCCTTTATGCTTTGTTTATTGTAGAATAAATGTCCCACGGAGGAGAAGGTCTCTCTCCCACCCAAGGCCCTTGCAGCCTGGAGGTAACTGAGGCACATTCACCTGGGAGGTCTGGCAGAAATCCTTGTGGGAATCTGGAAACTGGAATGCTAGGATTCACAGTTTGAGTGCACAGGGCAGGCTCCTGCGCTTGGAGAAAGTACGGCACGCAGCCCGTGTGGAACGGTTCTTCAGAGAAGCCTTTGTGCTCTCTTAATGATACCAGAGTCCCTCTTCTCAACCCCCACAATAACCTCCACAGATCATGGCGTTTCTGGCTTTTTCATTCAACACAGCCATCTCCTCCAAAAAGTATTTAAGGGGCGCCTGGGTGGCACAGTGGGTTAGGCATCCAACTCCTGATTTCGGCTCAAGTCATGATCTCAGGGTCATGAGATGGAGCCCCATGTCGGGCACGTGCTCGGCACGGAGCCTGCTTGAGATTCTCTCTCTCTCTGCCCCTCCACTGCCCCCCGCGCTCACTCTCTCTAATGTAAATAAATCTTTTTTTTTAAAAAAGTATTTAAGATCTCTACTTACCAAAATAGCTCCACTTGGATCCTGCAAAGAACAAAACAAAGCTAAGTAAGTACAACGGAGCTTAAGCAAGTGAGAGAAAATGCTACAGATTGGATTTTGAAATGGGTGCGGTCCGAAAGGAGGCAGATGCCCAGACGGACGTTGTCAGAGTCTGTGTCAGGTCAGCCGCTTCCCAGAGCCGCCAGGGGGAGGCGCGGGGCCATGAGTGGGTGCAGGGGCTCACGGACCACGGAGGGGGCTTCTTCATTAGAAGCCTCCCAGATCCTAGAGAAGCCAAATTTTATTCCCTGAGTACGTAAAAGAAATTCACAAGGCTCAAAACCCAAAAGCTCCCAAAGGGTACACAATGAAAGCTCTTCCTCCCACCCGATCTCCCTGCTTCCAGGAGAGAGAAAGCCAGTTTTATGAGCTGCTGGGAACATCTTCACAGTGACTACACACGCATATGTAATCACATTCTTTCTCCCCATTTCTGCAACACAGATGTCAGCATACTGGAAACACTGGTAGGCCTCTTGCTTTTTCCCACCGAACAACACACCCTGGAGAGCCGTTCACATCAGTCCGTAAAGAGGAGAAAACTCCCCTCAAAAGGAAAGTTTTTCTTTGAGGAAGCTGCCACCCTCCCCCGAGTTAGAATTCCAGGGGGGCAGAGAAGGTGTAGGAGAGGTTCTGCCAGGAATATCATGAAAGTCACCTACCACCTCCCACTGCACACCCTTCACGCATAGAAGTCCCCTGTTCCTACATCCAAACATATTTTGGAAAAAGAAATGTTACAGAGTTGCATGCTTGGTACCCTGCCTGACATCTCCCTCTTCACCTCCAGAAGGACGCAGAGACCCTGAGACTCGGGGTGTCTCAGGGGACATATCCAGGGAGAGGGACTCTTCACATCCCAAGCACCTCTCCTGGCTTCTCTTGATGCCACCACGATGCGGGGCCCACAGGGTACAGTCAGAAGAGGAAGGCTCTCACGGCCCCTTTCTCTCTAGGGAGCTGATTTGCAGCAAAACCTAACTGACCAGCAACCTGCACCCTTCACAGCAACCGAGCATTTCCTACTCAAGGCAACGTGATTTTTAAAAGCAAAAAGAGAATTTTGCTGCTTTTGAAAAGTTAGTTTAATCCCATGGTTTTCTGTTGTTGTTCTGGTTCCTTTCTTTGCCTCAGTGCTTTTAATGAATTTGGTTTTTAATTTTCAAAATGGTAATTGTATCTAGTTACACTTGTGCATGGTTTAAAGTGTCAGATGGTTCTACAAGGCTTTTTAATAAAATATCAGTCCCCTGACACCCCTCGCTATTTTCCTGGTCCCTAGAGCACTTTGAAGGCTTTTTCAATCTGGGTAGTATCTCCACGTCTCAGTAAAATAGGCCTGTAGGGTTCCTCCATGATTTGTTTAGGTCGAGGTGTTATTACTATCCTCCCTCCCTGGAAGAGAAACGGTGAGGTCTCTGTGCACCACCTGCAGCCTATCACCTTGTGTTTTTTTTTAAAGTTTCAAATAGTTTATTTATTTATTTTATTATTTTTTTATTGTTATGTTAATCACCATACACTACATCATTAGTTTTTGATGCAGTGTTCCATGATTCATTGTTTGTGCAAAAATATGGAACGCCTCACGAATTTGCGTGTCATCCTTGCGCAGGGGCCATGCTAATCTTCTCTGTATCGTTCCAATTTTAGTATATGTGCTGCCGAAGCGAGCACTATCACCTTGTTTTATATGTAAGGCAAGGACAGTCCCCTGCATGAAGTGGAAGATCAGTGCCCGCTAAGAAATGTCTCTCCACATTTACCAGTACCTCCAGCAAACTTGGGAAATCTTCGAGTCTCCTCCTTCTCAATCGCAAGGAGCGAGGGGGGCTGGTGTTCAGACACCTTAGAATATCTAATGAGTACTTACAGACCTCTTCCCCATAAAAATGTCCATAGGCTTGGACACACAAAACTTCATGTACAATTAATTTCAGGAGGTCCGCAGAACCCCTAAAACCTGCTACGGACCCCACAGGAGTTAAGAGTCCCAAGATTAACCTCCCGGGAATTAGCAATTAGATGAAGACATGCAGAACCAAACCTGTGCGTAAGCCCCGAGTGGACTGCCAGCCCATTTCCCGAAACGACGCCGGAAAGGAACAAAGAAGGCTTTGCCTTGGAACCAAGCTACAGGGGACCTCAAACCTCTTCAGGGGTTTTGTCTGAGGACTTCGCTATTGAAATACAGTTCTGGATTTCAGAGCTAGAAGAAACCAGATCATTGCCACATAGCTGGGCAGAGCACTTGGAAGCTCAGCACACAGACATTCACGAGTAATGGGGGAGTTCATCCTCACAGCTAACCCGGAGAGACGGCCACTCCCGTGATCCTGGAGACCACCAGAAAAACAGCCGCAGCCCCCGAGCAGTCCTGCCTTGGCCAGGAGTTTAATTGTACCTGCCCCCAAATCAAATCATAGCCTTTCATATTCCACCTCTTCTGAGCTCTCCCCACCAAAGCTTGCCAAGCTGAGGTCTTCCCTATGGTCGAGGCTCATCCTCAGATGAGGCATCTGGGTAATACTGCGGGCAGCTCGGGGGCCAGTGTCACAGAGTGGACATGGGGGACTGAGACCTCCGGTGGTGACAAGGGACCGGGGACGCGTTCTTAAAACGCAGCAGCATCCAGAGTGAACTTCCCTGCCTTCCTCTCTCCGGGCAAGCCCGCCTGGTCCTCAAGCCCTGGTGCTTTGGGTATAAATGACAGTCCTTCCTCCGGAAGGACTCAGGAGCTGGAAGCTGGGGAGAAGCAGCACCGTAGAAGGAAGGGGAGGGTGGTCTGAATGTTGGGCGGGTCATCTGATGAAGGTCAGGGCCCAGCCTGGTCCCTTTTTAGCTCAGAACTGACCCGAGGAAGACTTTCTGAAGGGGTGTGTGTGTGTGTGTGTGTGTGTGTGTGTTATTTGGAAGTGGCGCCTCATGGTTCCCCACCTCCTGGTTAGGGCAGGAGTCCTGACCACACGCAGGAGGCAGGCCGGGCCAAGACCGCTGCGGCTCCCTACACTTTGGAGGCTTCCTCAGCGAGTAGGCTTTTCCAGGAGAAAAAAAAAAAAACCCCTACGTTTTTCCTCTTCTGTGTGGGAGACTTGGGAGGCCCAGCTGGATGCCTGTTAGAACCTGCAGGCCTACTCTGTACCGGGCGGGGAGAATGCCCAGCGTGCTCACTGAGGAAGTGGGGCAGATGAGGATCCAGGCCAGGGGTTCAGGGCCCTGCCTGCTTCCTGGTCTGGGTGCTAGAACCTTCTCTGAGTAACCGTCATTGCCAGAGACTGCCCAGCTCTCCATACCAGGTTCAGGCAGAGCAGACTCGGCGAGAAATCATTGAAATGTTCCCCACAGCAACTCAGCATTCCAAGGTGTTCTCCAGAAGACACGTGACCTCACCTTTTTATACTCCCTCCTTCCCCTCTCCAGTCATTTTTTTCCCCCAGTCATTCACCAGTGCCAAATGCTGGGAGTTTAAATGTTCTGGGAGGAGGGTAGACCACACTTTGACCTCATTACCTAGTTTAACCCCCCTCCACTCCCCACCCTGTGTTAATACTGACACTCTACATCTCGGTGACTTTGGCTTTGACCTTGTCCCCTGAGGCAGTTAAACAGTCAAGAAACCTACATGAGGAATAACAGAATAAAGACTCTAGGGGTAGGCAGGCTGGCTACTCAGTGTGGGGGTGAAAGTGGCTTTTTGACTGCAAGGCTCCCCCACCCGGACTTGGAAAATGGGGAGGGAAGGAAGGCAAAGGAGGAGGGAAAGGGAGGCAAAAGGGCAGGGGCAAGGGCAGGGGCAAGGGCAGGGGCTAGGGAGAGAGGGAGGAGAGGGAGGGGAGGGCAGGGATGGCAGGGGAAGAGAGGGAAGGGAGGAGGGGCTGCCCCAGAGTGAGGGGAGTAACAGGCTTTCTAGAAAGAGCCAACGAATGGCTGTTTCTCTCCTGTCTCAGAGCAGGTTGGAACTACAAGGGAGATTTCTCGCAAAACTTCAGGTCCCAGTGCAGCTTTCTGGAAAGGGGAATACGTGTCAAAGTCTGCAGTTTTAAAAATTAATTTCCACTTTCATATGATCCCTTTCTTCCACCAACTTTTTTTTTTCTTTTTTAAATAGGCTTCATGCCCGGCATGGAGCCCAACGTGGGGCTTGAACTCATGCCTCGGAGATCAACACCTGAGCTGAGATCAAGAGTCCGGTGCTTAACAAACTGAGCCACCCGGGCGTCCCCAACCTTCTATTTCTTCCGGACCAGACGAGGGAAATAATACCAAGCATATCTTGCCAGCCAGCGGATTTGAGTTAAGAGCAACCCCAACGCTGTGACAGGCCAGCTCCCCCACCTCCCTCCTACCCAGCCCCACGGACACAGTGTGACCTCCAGCAGAGAAGGAGGCTCTGAGCCTTCACGCTACAGAGCGGGATCAATTTCCCACACCACTGTCTATCAAGTGAGGATCCATTTCCAGCCATCATAGTCACTTTCAGCCCTCCTACAAATGTTTCAGCCCAACCTCGGTCCAGGACCGATAGCACCTACAAATGTCCCTACAACTTGGAACACACTCTGTCAAGGGCAGGAGCTACCATCAGTTACCAGGGAAGTTTCCACAAAACTCACTATCTACCCCCAGAAAAGTGCTCAGCCAGCAGCTGGAGAGGCAGGCAAGAGCTTGGCATCCTCTTGTTGCTCCTAAGGATTAACTAACCTTGACCTTGGCTGCACACCCAAACTCACTGCCTTGACCCAAGGTCCCCACACCTCCTCCTGCCATCCCCTACGGGCACCCTCAGCCTCCAGCCTTTTGGGGTTAAGAGCCCTAATTACACTCAGAAGTGAGGTGTGTATGCTCTTCCGAGTGCACACACACGTTCAAGATAGTAGAGCCCTTCTGGAGAAAAACAATGATTAAGAATGGGATGCATCATCCCTTTGACTTGGAGGTAAAACTTAATGGTAAAGAGTCTCTCCTCCAAAGGAAAGCATCCACTACTGCGGGAAGGTGCTGCAGCTGGGGCATTGCAAACCCTTCCTGCTAACCAGGCGGCTCCGACGCGGCTCCGACGCCACGTTCACTCCTCGACCATCTGCACGTGGATCGCGGATCTGGGCACAGCACTTTAAATCCTGGTTCCCCTTCTCCCCCCTCCCCCTTTAGCAAGTTCCCAAGCCACCCACCCCTCCAGAGCTGGGGAGAGCTCCAAGAACACACGAGCAGGTTTTAATCCGAAGACAACGTGCTTCCCCCTACCGCAACAGGTCGTGCATTCCAAAGGCAAAAGAATTTTCCAAAACGCGTTTTCCAAAGTGTCTAAAAATACGCCATTGGAGAGTGTGCTCCCCGCCACAAGGACTTTGCTTTAGCATTAGCGAGCCCCGCGGGCAATCCTCCGGCCAGGTGTGGCTGCGCGCTGGGGACTGAGGAAAGAGCGGGCGCACACTTTACCGTTGAGCGGGGCTGGGCGGGCCGGCTGTTCCTTGAAGCAGAGGAGCAGGAGAACGGCGGCGGCGTGCAGGCTGCGGGGCATCGCGCGCGGCGGGGGCGGGGCGGGGACGCCGTGGGGGGGTTGGGCCGGGGCTCCCGCTGCCTCTGCTCGGGTGTTGGGGACCGCGTGCGCGCAGCCCGGCGGTGCGAGCGCGTCTGCTCTTCGGGCGCCCGGCTCGTGGCGGGCCGCTCTTATAGAGCGACTCAGCCCCAAACTCATGATGTCATCGTGCGCGGGGGAGAACGCCCTGCCCACAGCAGGTCTGGCGCCCCGGTTGCGAGGTGAGTGGTAGCCTGACTTTAGCCACGCTCGCCTGGGAAGCCCGGTCTCTCCGTGGGAGCGGCGGGCAGGGGTCGGGGAGGGCCACCTATCCCCGGCCCCACCGGGGAGGGTGCGCCTAGGGACTGGCTCCAGTGGCCACTGACCCGGGCTGTCGCAGCCCTTACCGAGAAGCCCAAGTATAATGCCGTGTGGGCCAGTGCCTCCTTCAGGGGCCCTCCTCCTCGTGTGCCAGGCACACGTTTTAGGGACTGGAAAGGAGAGCAGAGAGGCTGCGTTCCAACTCCGAATCGCGGCCGATTGTACAGTGCAGCCTGAGAAGGTCTTGCTTTTTCATTTGGACACAAAGAAATTCATTTAGAATAGCTAAATAGCACAGCGGGGTACACGGTGAACAGCTTTCCGAAGCAATTAGACTTACCCTAGTAACACGTAAGCTGCTTCACAGTATCAGTCCGTTCTCTGGGAAGCTGGGGGGAGCGGTAGCCCTTCTGTGGGTTTAGCAGTGGAAGAAAAAGACGTATTATTGATTACCTACTATGTGTCAGGCACTGTACTAGGCGTTTTGCATTGTGTCCTGGGTTTGGCTTCCAGTGCATATTAGCATCACCTGTTGCTCATTTCTGCCCACTTTTCACACGTATATGTATTCTTTTTTTTTAATATTTATTTATTTGACAGAGGGAGACACAGCGAGAGAGGGAACACAAGCAGGGGGAATGGGAGAGGGAGAAGCAGGCTTCCTGCCGACTAGGAAGCTGGATGCGGGGCTCGATCCCAGGAACCTGGGACCATGACCCGAGCCAAAGGCAGACACTGAGCCACCCAGGCGCCCCACACATATGTGTATTCTTTTAAGTACATATATGCGTACATCTAGTCATATACATGTGGCTCTGATCCCCCTTGATAGTTAGTCCATGTTCACTTGTTAAAGATTTTATTAACCTGCTGCCTCCAATACTCGATAAATCTTTCTCCTGCTGTTACTGCCACTTGCTGTTCCCATTGTTCCTGTCATTTGTGCTTCTGGCTTCCCTGGGCCTCCCAGTGTCTGTTCTGCTCCCCACGCTGGGCTCGGTTTCCTTCCTGCTCTGTGACCTTGCCTAGTCTCTTGGTTCCTTGCTGCCTATAGACATTGCTCGGACCACGTGGTCTGATGAAGGGTACTCACGCAGCCCTGGTACATGACCCCTGATTTTGCGACTTGACCCATCCTGCCCTATTCTCTTGGCCACCGCAGCCTGACAGCCCAACCAGCCTCACATCTCTCCGGTCTGTGCTGGCTCTCAGCCTGTGTGGACTCTCAGGCCAGCCTCAGCGACCAGGGAAACCACTTGTCCAAGCAGGTTTTGGAGGGATGGAGCAGCTTCTGTGCTGAGAGTCACCAGGAAGCACACGCCACCCACATCAAAAGGGGTGCTACTGTTCTCTCCCTATCTCAGCGATTGTTTGCGTTAATAAAGAGCTCTGAAGTCTTTTTAAGGAAGTAGTTACAAAGACAATCTTGTCACCAATACTTCCAGGCCACAGCAGGCTTAAGGATGACCTTTTCTGCCTGCAACTCTTGATAAAGAACCTTGATAAGCTCCAGAGCAGTGAGTGAGCAGTTCACCTGGGGCTCTTAAGGCATTCCTGTCTCTGATTTGTCATCAAGGGCTTTAGAAGATGAAATGTACTTGAAGGACACAAGAGGTAGGGAAGAGCCCCTGCGGCTTCGGAGATGCACAGACTGAACCCATGCAGATGAAATCACTCATCCCACAGCTCACGACTAGATACGGGGAAACTGGGCCACGTACACACATTTGGTTACTCTCAGTTCAGGTGTTTTCCCATTATGTCTGGCTAAATATTAAGTTCAATTTGTCCTGGAACATGCATGTCTAAGTGTTCTCCAAGGATCCCCAGAGATGGGGGGGGGCGGTTAAAAAAAGGGATGGATTTAATAGACCAGTAAGGCAAGATTGTGAACTGGGTGTGATGGAGATACAGGAGAGGGTTGGGATGTTTACTGCTTGTCTGGATCAGAGATGTGGTTAATTAGTAAAGAACGGATAGCAATTAAAAGAGAATTGAGGATATAAACTGAGATTCAATTGCCCTAAGTACTTTGAGTGATTTTTTTTTTTTTCAATTTTAGGGGATTAGAAGGGTGGAAAAGCAAACAGGAATGGATGGAAGGACCAACCTTCTAAAGTACTGAAGCCAAATGTCAAGCACCCCGTGGCCCCTCAAAAAAACAGCACAAAACTAACCAGGTTAAGTTCCCAACTCTGGGAATCTTCCCTGCCAGAGGCTTCCTGAGGCCTGCGTAACTGGACACGTCTGGGCTCGCTTGGCCGTCATCAGATGGGGTGCTCGCCAGCCAATAACTAAGACATTACTCAATGGGTTAAGGTGGAAAAGGGACCTTCAGCGCTCACAATGTGGCAACTGGCCACCAAATGACATGCCCAGACAGAAGGTTCCAGGGAGAGGAGCTCTTGTACGGTGTCACCCTGTTAGAATCAACAAGAGGGCGAGGCCGGTGAGTCAAAGGGCAGAGGAGTGTGGAGGAAAGGAGCCCAAGATTTGGTGTCCGGAGGTCTGGGCCGAAGTGCCTGCCCCACCACTACTTACTGAATGGCCTTGACAGTGGTACCACCTCTTGAAACTTCAGTTTCCTCATCCATAAAGTGCAGGTTCTCATCCCGGCCCCTGAGTCACTAACAGAATTGAGATCTGGATGGAATGAGACAAGGCAAGCGGAAACTTTTCTGTTCATTCATTCACCCTCTGTGTGCCAGGCACCGTGCTAGGCTTCGTCCTGGCTCTTGGAGAGTGTGTAGATGTAAAACGGTCTCATGAACAACCATAATTAAGACTGGATTAAGTGTGATGCAAGGTTGGTGTATAACCAGAAGGGATCCACTCTGTCCTGGGGCAGTGAGGGGAGACATCACCCATGTAAGAATTAGATTCTGTGACTTCATAAAACCTTTGAAATGCACAGCTAATACCGGGCTCCTCTTTCTCAAGGCCGGCCCCACTTGCCCATACACACCCTAATCATTGGCCTGTCGGGCATAATGGTGTTAGTGTAGAGACTTTGATTTCTCAGGGTAAGAGTTAACCCTTCAAACAGCGTCACTCAATTGGGAACGCACCTTTTTATGGCTAAAGAAAGGACTGGTAGGAGGAGAACTAACATTTATTGAGTACCTACTGTTTGCCTGACACTGTGCATGGCACTTTATTCTTACAACAACCTGTGGGGTGGGTGTTAGGTTTGCCATTTTACAGATCACGAATCTGAGGCTTGAAAAAGCTAAATCCTTTCCTTGAGTGAGGCTTTTTGAGTGGCAGAGACTGAATCCTCAACCAGATGATTCTCTGTCTCCACAGCCCAGGAGGGGCCCTTTTCACGGCTATCCTAGCAAATTCTTTAGATGGGGATGTTCTACTTCTGGATCCTGCTGAGATGAGGATTCTCCAGTTTTCTAGATGTTATGATCATTTATTTGTTGATGAGGGGCACAGTGTGCCAGTTCTGGCAATGAAATAATGCTCAGCATGGGACACGGCTGTGTCCTCCCCCCCAGTCCCTGTGGGGTGACTGAGAGCCCCTCCCTCTGATCAATGCCCAGCACATCTGCCAAAATGTGGGACAAGGAACCTGAGACCACAGAGCTCTGATTCGACACAGTTCTCCGGCCAATGAGAATATGAGCCCGACTACATAGTTCCTTGTTATATCAGTGAGCTCTGCTTTGACCAAGGAAAGGGGGTATGGAGGAAAGCAGAGGGAGAGAGAGAGAGAGAGAGAGGGAGGGAAGGAGGGAGGGAGGGAGGGAGGGAGGGAGGAAGGAAGGAAAGGGAAGGAGAGGAAGAAGGAAGGAAAAAGCCAAGGGATTTCCTTTGACTGGGTAGTGACTGAGGTCTCGCATGGACCCTTTGATCCTAGTGCAAATGTCTAGGTCTATGAAAATATAGTCACTTTTGTAGCTTTATCCACATCAGCCGCTTTGCTTGTGAAGCCGTGGCCTGGAGTCATAGCCTGTGTGTGAACCCTGGCTACCCGGCTCACTTTCAGGCAGGATCAGCTGGAGGGCAGAGTGACCCGCAGGAAAGAATGCTGAACTCAGCTCTGCCAGGAACGAGCTCTAGGCCTGTAGCAAATCTCCTGGCCTGCATCGGCCTCGGCTTCTGGATCCCTAAGTCAAAATAAGAATGTCTAACCCCACACTGGGTTGTGAGTGTGGGATGAGACCATAGATGTGGAAGTGCTTTGGAAAATCAAATAAAAGTACTTGACATACACAAGATATTCCTGAGAGAGGGCTCGAAACAAAGGTTGTTTTGATCTCAGCCTTGGTTTACTAATCGAAGAAAACGAAAACTGGATTCCAACAAGGGACTGACTGTAAGATCGCATTCAGCCCGCGCCACCAGTTACCATGGCAACTTGTGACTCTGGTCCAACTACTTGTCCACCGACTCCTGTAGCGATTGCTTCTGTCAAGTGGGGAATCGTGGCTCATCATCAGGATTTTTATAAAGCCCTCTTCATGATTAATAAAAAAAATGACAATAATTTAAAATTCTATGCACAGGGACTAAGTTAAGTTAGCATTTTAAGTGAAAATAAATGTTGGTACAATATGTTTCCTCTTTCCAGGTAAACTGTTCTGAAAACCACGCTCAGCTGACAAGAGACTCTTTAAGAGATATAATTAGACTACAATAGTGTAAGTTTTCTCACATCTCCTTTTACCCCTGCT